GACTAAAGAGCGGTTGGTGACTCAAGCAAAAAGACCACAGGGAAAAGAAGTAATAAAAAAGCAATAAAGCAAAAGAAAAAGAAAAAGAAAACAAACAAAAATAAAAGGTAAATTTATGTAAAGAAAAACAAGAAACCAGAGAAAAGCAGATGAATAAAAAAATTGAAATTGAAACTCAAATAGAGTTGCCAAGAATAGATTGGACCATCTATAGTGCAATGAAAACTAAAGAGCAACTAATTGTAGCTAAACTAATGCATTTAATATTTTATATTTATACAACTAGAGAAGAATTTTGGAATACACATTTGACGCAAAATAACAAAATTGATCATCAGGAATTAGATGGAGCTTTGCAGTTTTTTTCCATCCTTTCCCTAGTTGGTCTGTGATCACTTTTTGAGACATTGACAGAATATAAAGCTCAGCCGAAAGCACAGAAGCATGCAGTGTGGTAGCAAACATCATTCCCGTTTACAAGCCAGAGCAGCAAGAAGCAATCATGAATTCTTTAAATTTACGAAGCATTTGATACAATTCGCAACGTCAATAGTATCTTTAAACCCCTTCACATGAAAAAGCAGATAAAACCAAAAGCATCTCCTATCGAGCATAATTAGTGCAGCCTGCATGCCCAAACAGGTTTAATTACATTGAATTTATACAAAAAAGGAAAACCAAATCAGTAATTTATGAATTTCATTTGAGATGAAATGACCTTGCCCTACTTAAACTTTGTATGCTAATAACTATTGCATAGAGAAACAGGGAAAGATAAAAGGTAAGTTGCCTGCATTTTCATTATATACAGTACCTTATGTAGTACAAGGCCTTTACACTTATGGATTTGATTGAAACAGGTTTTAGATAAATGCTGGGATAAATTGGGTGGCAGTCATAGTGGAGAGGTGTGTGCATTACATGTGTATCCGGTCATCACCCCCCTCAAGTTGAGGATTCCATTGGGATCATCAGCTTGCTGCATAGATGATGAAATTCAAGCATCTGAAGAAAAATGATCTACTATGATATCTTTTGTTTCAATGTGATCACAGATGAAATGGTGGTCTATTCTAGGTGTTTAGTGCACGCATGGAAGACCAAGTTAATTGCTAGAGCGATGGTAAAGATGTTGTCACAATAGAAAGCTGAAGATGAAGTGTGGAATATTGCATTCCTGAAGTAGAAGATAAGGTCAAATGATGTTCGTGACAGCTATGGAAATGGCCCAATACTCAGCTTCTATGAAGAATCGTGCTAGGATGGATTGCGTCAAAAGAGATTGTGTTTACCAAGAATGTGCATTAGGCCATGATAGATTTGCAATCAAGAAGTTTTTCAGCCTAATCAGAAACAAAATATGCATGAGACTATGGTTGGCATGGGACCCTATCAGTGAATAACTCATACAACAAACAGCAATTTCCTCTTGTAAGTGCTTCCAATTTCCAACTATTAACTTCAGGCCTTCAGTGCTTATTCTCAGGCATCTAATAGAAAAAACTTTGTATAGCATCGACCAAGGTAACAAACTTTCAATCACTCCACGGGCTACAGCTGACTGAATGAAGGATATGAAAGAGAGATATCCCTCCAAACCATACAACCACCGCTTTATAAAATTCTTCGAAATGATAGGCAAAAAGTTTGTAGAGATTAAGTAGATAGCATTCGGTGATGGGTAATATACTTGTAAAGGTTAACTAGAAATTTTAGAAATGCATGAAAAACACATGTAAGAAAATACATGCAATAGATTTTGATTTAGCGATTAAAGTTAATGAGACAATTAGGCTTCATATATAGCAAATTTTTCTAAATCACTTTTTTTTAACCAAATTGGATGTAAAAGTTAAAATTTTATTTTGTAAAGTGTCTTAAAGAGGATTTCATTTCCAGAACTAATATGAAGTATATAACCAGTGAAAATAAGTTTTACAAGAGCCTGTCGCAAGGATTTCTGCCAATATGGCACGGCTAGAATAACCACCAAACCAGAAATACTTGAGGCTTCAGAAGAGACTGGAGTGTTCATAATATTTTAAGTACTGCAATTCTGATGAATCCTTATTACTTCCAGACCTACATAATTTCACTGCTTTTCATAACCAATATTTTTTTTCTCTCTAAACGCAAGCTTATGGCATGGAGATTGTCTATAGCTCGCTTGCTGACCAGCGGAAAAACAAACTGCTATAATTTCAATGAAAACGAGAAACTAGTTATCATTGAAGACTATAACAAGGTTCAGAAAAGAATCGGAAAATGCATCTAAATAAACAAAATAATAGTGATTGCATGATGAAGAAAAAAATCAGAAAAATGTAGTCAATAATCCATCAATTCTTGATACACCAAAACATTTTGGATAACTTCAAGCAAATGATTAAAATCTAACGAGAAGCTCCATATTCCCAAAATTTAACGGGTAAGCAAATACCTTGGTCTCAAGTGAACCAGAAGTTCTATAGTAACCCATTTTGGTCTTGTAAGCTGCAGGACAATCGATACAGTCAGCATTATTGCACACGGCGAAAGGTCCTGATTTCCATAAATGCTCATTTCTCTCAGCATCACTGCCATCTAAACAATACTTCCCATTCATTTCTTCTGGCATGACTGCATGTGATTTGCTGTGATGTTTTTCATATTTTTTCAAAGTATATCCGGGTGTTTGACCCCCATGCAAAGGACCGCTCATTGGTGAGAATTGAGCAGTCCTGTGACAATACAATGGGCCAGTATGAGACATAAAAGCATCTTCGCTTTCATAGGATGCATTGAGAGGAACGGTCATTGATACACTACGAGCAGCTAATCCTTGTAACTCAACATTTCGTCGTGATATGGTGCTGTGATCATCAGCTGAATAAGCCATATAAATAAACTAAACCTGCAAAATAAACAGAAACACAGATACAACTAAGAAAAGAAAGCCAAGATCCGATATTTTGATTTCTAACACAAAATAATACTCCTAATAGTCATGGACAAGTCTGCCATACCAGAAACAAAAGCTCAATAGAAAATATCATTTTTTATGATAATAATACGGATAACAATAAAACTATACTTAAACATAAACAAGTTGAAAGGAATTTTAAGAAAAATCGACATTGTCAATCAGCCACATTGTTTAGGTGTGCTATAGCTGATGAATGAGTTCATGTTTCATGGCATGAGTGGTGGCATGAGTGGATCCAGCATATCACTGGCTAACACAGCATTAGAATTCATCATGAAATTACAAAAACTGTAATTATCAAGCACCAAAAAAATATAATTTAGCATGTAACTGTCAATTGATGATGCTCAAGAAAAAGGAATCCAATTAATAGACCAAAAATACTGACATCAAAAGAAAACTACTTCGGCTTCATAAATGCAAAAGAACAATAGTTTTCCATGGCTTTTCAGCAACTTCTGCATACTCTCACTGTGCACCAAAGAGCCATATAACGATATGAATACCAAAATAATAGAAATGTTTAAAAAAACTGTTTATAATTGGGATGTAGCATCTACAACTATGTGCCTTTCATATGTAATGTTGTTTTAAGGTTCAAGTAATAGAAAATTCGTTTCGACAAATTCAAATTCCAAGTTTGTTCTAGGATAATGCACTTAACCCTGGTTAAGGAGTGTTCTGATCATTTAGCATATTTGATTATTACTTCTAATCATAACGCAGGAATGCTTCTTTGCCCATGAAAGTAGACACGGTAAAAAATTGGAACTTCTCATTTCTATTTCTTTGTTCAATTCAGTCACAGTGAGGCAGAATTTGAGTTTTTACTGCTCCGGCCAAAAAGAAGATTGCCTGTGTATTCATGCTTCTTTAGAAAATTCTCTATTCCGAAATTGCACAATAGTGGTGTTGCACATCTTCTTAACAGGGTCCAGGGACAAAGCTATCACTATTGTAAATGATAGATATTATTGGGAAAGTTTAAAATCAAATGTAGCTGGAATAGTATCCAAATGTAATGCAAAAAACCAATGATAAAAGAAATAATATTGGGTTATATATTCTTTTACATATTCTTTATAAGTATGAATTTCATGCTAAAACTGCCGCAACATTTCAGGAAGCATCAATATATCTTGGCTTCATAATGGATCACTTTTCCAATAAAAAAATTGATGTGTCAAATATACTAAGTCATATTTTAAAGGAAAATAATAAGATGTATATGTGTAGACTTTTACTTATTCTTTACTCCTATGGCTGTTAAATTGCCCTTGACTGCCTTCCAGACTCCACATTTATGCTCTACTCCTTTTTTCCCTCCTTCATTTCCCTCTCATAAGAAATGTCTAAAATACCTAATCGTCCAATTAGAAAAAACCAAATTGAAAGATTAAGAAGCCAATTCTACTCATAAATAACCAAATTCAAATACAAATATTTATAATAACTAAATCAACTCAAATAAAAATCATAGTTAGGATTAAAAAGGAGAAATATGCATAAAATGTATAAGGGAAAATTATTAATGCATAAACATACATAAATTCAATTTTGAAATTCCTATAGGTTTCCTCTCTTCCTGAATAGTAAATTGCAAGTCAAAAGATTAAAGATAAGTTTTGGTCAAGTTGAAATAACTGCCCATAAATTTCCTTATGTATTAACGTGCCTGACAAATGTAAAATTTTTAAGTTACTACTAAAATATTTGGTATAAAATTGAAAACTCAATTAAAATGCTCAACTACTCACCATCCACCAATTTATGGACTAATTGAAGTTTTTGATAAAAGTTTGATGAATTATTGCGAGGTCTGATAACTGAGCATACATCTAGATAGGGTTTGTATTTTTTTACAACTACTTTTTGTACCATTCCTTCATTAATAAGTCTATAAGAAAAAATTCAATTGAAATAGTTATAGGATTTAAAACTAGAAAAGAAACACATATTTAATTAAGCTTCCTATTATTTCTAAGCACAATGAATTAATACAATCATTCAAACAATATATTCACGATTTGCATGAAAATATAAACAAAAAGTTTCTATTAGCTATGTCAATTATAATTCTACCATAAATATGAGCAAAATATGTAGAAATTAAACTAAGAGATATAGTAATGGTCTATCTAAATCAATTTTTACAAAGTTGGATCATATGAAGTTAAATGACAGCTTAGATCAAATGCTTACAAGTTGAAAATACGATAAATTTTTAACATCAGCCCATTTTTTAATACATCTGATTAGACTTTAATATAATGAATCATTAAGCAATGTATTGACTTATTTCTTTTTTCACCTTATTTATCTACATAATCTTGAACAGTTATGCTACACTTATATACGAATATGTAATGAATCATGAAATCATAACCACTACTAATAAAAGTCATAAACCCAACTTGTGAATAAGTGAAATGTGATGACTTGTACATATCTCTATGGGTTGCAACATTTATGCGTAAATTTTCTTGATGAATATCAATTGAATGAGTTGATAGAATCGATTTTTTCTAAGAAGAGCAGAATTAATGTCAAATCTAGGGGACACAAAAATTTATTATGTTTGTGTTAAGTATATAAGCATGAAATTTGAACTTTTCTTTTAATATTAATTACTATTGGTTTATTTTTTAGCTTTTGTTAAGAGCCTCTATGTACTCCCAAACCCTAAGATTTCACCCAATCATAAAATGTTCAATTTGTACTCGAATTCTTACTAGGAACTCTATCCCATGGTTGACAAGATAACTCCTAAAGATTCTCGAGGCTATTTCTTATATTTCATCTATATAGGACTCTCGATGAAGGTCATGTGGCTTACTCATTCAATTTTCATACCGATTAATCCCTCATGTAGATGCAGCTAAGTTCTCCATCTGCTAGGTCTTGTTGCCTCTATTTCAGTGACTTTCTCTCTCTACTACAATCAAGTGCTCTTCTGCTCAACAATTCCTTGGCATTTTTTGAGTTCATTCCATCTATTTTTCTCTATTATCGCTTCTTACTGATAAATACCTTCATCATTACAAGAAATAGAATAATCTTTTAGCAGAACAAATGTTGTTGAGTCTCAACTACCTTTCTATTTGTTCTCTAGTAGCAACATGTGGCCACTTCTACTGCACACGGTTACACAGCAAAGCTTTAGTCCTATTACATGCAAGTCCTTAATATTGAAGAAAAGTAAGGGGGAACTTTTTATATTATGTTTCTCTTCCGTTTCCTTCCTGTGTTTCAACATGGTATTAAAGCATTTGCTTAACAGCAAACTCATTTAAGTCCTTATTTCTATTATATTACTTTTCCTTTCTTCTCTTGTGGCAGATTCTGTTGCTTCAGCAATGGTCATATCACAAGCAAAGTGGAGAACCCATTATCAACATGACTGACATTCCCATTCATCCTCAGCTTAAATTCATGATGGTGAACATCAAGAATGTTGTTCATATTCAGCTCATCATTGAAAATCATCAAATCTGGAGGTCCCAAATACTACAATTGTTCCGTGCAAATGGATTTGAATGGTACTTCAATGGTTCTACAACTCAACCTACAGAAACCGAGAGAAGATGGCACTCAAGGTCACAATCCACAGTATCACTTATGGATCGAATGGATCAGAATTTAGCATCTGCTCTTTATGTTATTGATACCAAAGGAGAAAGCCCAAACCATAAAGAAACGGAAATATTATTATTGAAATTGGTTACAACGACTCTTCAGAACATAAAATAAACGACAAACAAACACAAAGACACAAGCCAACACCTCAAAAGTGTATCCTAAGAGCGGTGGAGGTTGGCCCAGTGAATCCAGAGACTTGGAGACAACAAGTGTGAATGCGGGAGAGGGAGCAGTAGAGGTTGGAAGGTAAACTGGAGGGGGAAAGGCAACAGGTTAAGGTGGCGGGAGGGTTTGTTGGGCGGTTGGGTAGCAAGTTAGGAAGGCTCGTTAGCACTTTCAGAGGGTGGATAGCAAACGGGGAAGCATTGGCAGCAATGGGAAAGGCATGGACAGCAAGGTAGACTGCTGGAAGTGGGTCGGTTTTGTGCTGGGAGGAATTTTTGGCGGGTGGACAGCAAGATTGGGTTGTTCAGAAAGGGCGGTTGAGTGTTGGGATCGAATATGAGGAGCTACGGCCTTGCTGGGAGAAGGCTGGCAGCAGGTTTGAGGGAGGACAGCAGCCTGCAATTATTTGGGAAGAGGTGTGGTGGTCTGTTGTAGGGCTGAGAGGTGGGTGGACAGAATCAAGAAGGGTGGAAGGATGGATAAATATCTCTTCAAAGTTCAGCTACAGACTGAGCACCACCAGGACCCGTGGAGACAATCACTACCTCAGACGAGGGACGGTCGGAGTACTACCTCAACGTCGGATAGAGACCTCGAAGTTAAAAATACGAATGCTAAAACCTGATCTCAAATATTAAAAACAAGACTCCTAGCTCTAAGCACATCACCTCCTATTTATAAAGAGGCTTGACCTATTTTAGATTTCAAATTTTGGAAAAAATTTCAAAATAAGAAAGGAGAATAGCTCTTGATGTAAATCAACCCTCAAACATTTCCACATATCCTGAATCAGATCAAATTGTCATCGGAAGTGGCAAACCATGCCAACAGCTAATGTTGGCCAAGGCATACTGCCCACACCCTCCCATAAGCTACACTTACCACACTTATTTCATGCTCCTACTCCTCTTTTATATGATGACATTTTAGCTATTGCATTACCTCGCAATCTAATGTTTCATGCTCATACAAAACATATTGATATAGATTGTCATTACATTCATGAGTACATCAAAACCAAACATATCATAGTACATCAAATTGCCACAAATGATCAGCTCGCAGGGTGCTGATAGTATCTTCATCATTACAAGTAACAGAAATTTCTTTTAGCATAACAAATATTATTGAGAGTATCCACTACCTTTTGATTTGTTCTCTAGTAGTAACACGTGCCACTTATACTACATACCATTACACGGCATAACTTTATTCCTATTATATGCAAGTCCTTAGTATTGAAGACAAGTAAGGGAAAACCTTCTACATAATGTTTCTCTTCCGTTCTCTTCCTGTTCTTCAACACTTAACACTTGTCAATAGAAAAACTCCAATTTCTTATAGTAAAATATAGTTTAAATATTGAAAGAGAAAAATGGCCTATCACATATACATATAGCAGGCACCTCCTGAAATCATGTTCCTTTAAACATACACAGAAAAAAAAAACCCTTTCTGAAACTTTCATCAACGCATAAACAAAACTATGTCCGGTAATTGCTAAGGATCAATAGGTAGAGGAATGAAATTTCCCCGCTTAGTAGTCACCCCATGAAATAGCATTCATTTCTGCAAGTTCAAAAGGTGAAAAAACCAAAGCGACCTTAGAAACAAGGCGCCATCATTTCAAGGGATTGTTATCCAAACCAGTCTTGGGTTGCATCTCCAGAATTAATATTTGTTTACACAAGCTTGAACCGTGAAAAAATCAGTGTATTTTACAATCAGGATGTCCATGAAAACTTATATGACGGAAACGCGCTTGCCGAAAAGTAGAGCCATAAATTTCCCTATAGTTGAATAGTTAACACCCTACACTAAACACGCTATCGATATTGCAAACCTAAGGCAAGAATTAGTGAACAGCTTTGACTTCAATCATCTGCTAGTGCTCGAAATATGCAAGCTAAAGACCTTAGTTTAAAATTTTAAGAAAAAAGTTAAAAACAAAAACAAGTTGCAAGAAGACAACTGCCTCTTCGCTTCGTTCGTCAATCTCCTAGTCCGAAGATGATTTAAAGTGAAATAAAAAGGTCACAAATTAGAAAAAAAAAAACATAAAAAAGGTGTTCCATGGCTCTACCTAGTACAAGCCCAATAGTTCAGATTTAGAAGAAATGCAGAACCACTACAAGTGCACATGACTTAGAAAAGACAACGGCTAAGAACGAAGCAGCCTGACTATCAGTACTTGTTTACTTAACCAGAAGAAGAGGCTAAGGCTTCTACTTCTATCACTTAACGCCAAGGCGCCGTTGAAGAAAGAAATGGCAACAGAAAAGGATTGATACAAGAACCAAACTTAGGATTCAAAACAAAATAAAAAACGACGCATACCTGACTGAGGGAGCCTGAGAATCCTTGTGGGGAAATGGGAATGAAAGAGGAACAGCAGCCGAAGAAATGGAGGACTTCCGCTTCACTCTTCACAGGAACTTGAGAGGGAAACTTCCCAAGGCCTACGCGTATGTGCGCGTGAGGCAGGACCAAATATAAGCTCCTTCCGTAGAAGGAACAGTGTATTGCATTGGAGTATTGAGAGCATTGACTTCGGTCGCCAACTTTTTGGGATCTACTAATGAAACAAATATTTTAAATATACAGAATAATTTTTAGAAGAATACATCATACCATAAATTTCTTATATTTTTAATGAACATTTAGATTTTAAAATTTATTCATGTACCACCCAAATTTGATTAAATTAAAATGAAATTTAATTTTTTATTATCTTTTTCAGTTGTACACATAGTATATTATTTTTAATACAATTAAATTATTATTTGATTATATTATATAATAATTTGGTTGTACTGAAAGCTAATATGTGATTTGTGAAATTAAATATATATCTAACAACAGCCCTCCAAATAAGAAAAAAATTTACTATATATGCCTCATAACAATATGCATATATATATATGTATGTATATATGTATGTAATTATAGATAGATAAATAGATGGATGGAGAGAGAGAGAGAGAAAGATAAATATGTTTAGATATATATATACATATTTATCTTTCTCTCTCTCTCTCTCTCTCTCTCTCTCCATCCATCTATTTATCTATCTATAATTACATACATATATACATACATATATACATATATACATACATACATATATACATGCATGCATACATACCTACATACCTACGTACCTACATACCTACGTACCTACATACCTACGTACCTACATACCTACGTA